TGACATCAGTCTGTGGTCAGAGAAGTTACCAGATCTTCTTCCTTTGTATGCGGTCAGCCCTGAGTCACTTCTCTCTTGAGTCTGAGTGCGGTGGGAAAAGTTTCCACTTCCCTGGACATGGCCTTTCACTGACATGGCTCGGAGGCTCTCTGAGAGGGGGAAGGTATGCGGCATTGCTGTCTTCTGTGGCCATTGAGAATGTGAAGTCTGTTGCCTGAACGCTAAAGGTAGTTTTCTCACCTGTTGTCTGTGGAGACCAGTATTTCCTAAGAGGAGAAACAAAAACTTTAAGTACTCTATATAATCCAGAGAAGAACATCGGTGAGGGACAAACTGTTTCTCCCATGTTTCAGCCTAGATTGCTAATTTAGTTTTGACATCCTCACACTCTACCTATTCTTTATTTAATACATTCTTTTAAACATCAGGCCGTATATCCTGGCTCTCCATTAGCCAGTCTCCTGGCTGCATACTACAATCACCTGGAAAACTTTTAAAAACTATATTCATGTTGGGGCCCCACAACCAAAAAGTTTGATTTCACTGATCTGGCATTTACAGATTTCAAAGTGCCACTCGTGATTCTAATATGCAGACGGTTCCAAAACCTAAGCCCAGCTATTACCAGCCTCTTAATTCATTATCTCACTTAAGAACCCACTGCCCTCTCCAGGGCAGCACTTCTCAAACTTTAAAAGGCACAGGCATGATCCCGGGATCTTGTTAAAATGCAGAACTGATTTGGTGGCTGTGGGGTGGGCCCTGAGAGTCTGGAATTCTAACAAGCCACCTGCTCAAAGCCTCAGAGTTGGTGAGCCTAACAGGACCTTTATCTCTTCAAGGATTTAACTCTTTAAGACAGCCATCATGGGATCTAGTATGTGCTATCCTCCGTTTAAAAATAGAATTGAAAATTAATCGTGGTCCATTCAGGCAGTCTTCGTTAACATAAAGGTAGAACGATAAACCTCCATATTAATGTAAAATAATGATCCAGTTCCTTTCAAGTGGCCATAAAAACACTGCACAGCTGAATGAGTAAGTGACCTTGTGGGTCACATAATTGAAAGATATTGCTCTCTGGAGCCAGCCACAGGAGTCTCACTTTGTAATCTTGGAAATCACTGAATTTCTGAGTCACTGTTTCCTCCATCAATTTTAAGTAGTAGAAGGTATTTCTAGGGGTGTTAGAAAGACGGATGAAGTCAGAAATGCAAAGTGCCCATCAGTCCATGGACCTCTGAGTATGCCTAAAGAGAGGCTGAATCTTAAAAATAAAGTAAAATTTAAAAGAGCCATTGCAGTATCTAAATATGTGAATTTTCACTAACATGTTTTGCATGAGGGTTTAGAAAGATTCTCTTCTGCTTAATCCTCCAACTCGTCTTTTTCTCACTTCTGCCAACATTAAGGTCAATCTTGGGGAAAAGAAACCACTGAAGGACAAATTGAAGCTGAAACTGGAAAAAAAAATAAAAGATTGCTGCAACTTTAGCTTAATGAGAGACCGCAACATATTTTGAAAAGATTTTTCTTTGTTAGTTAACACAAATAAAACCACCTTTTTCCCTCTCACCACCTGCCTGAGTCACCACTCGATGGAAGAACTCATAGATAGAATGTTTTAAGGTGCTTATGTCTTTTGAGACCCATCAGGTAAAAGAGAGGCTGAGAAGTAGAGTGTAGATGTTGGGTTACTATATCAAAAGAAAGCCACTGCAAAAAAAAAATGACCTGTATGTTTCCACTAAATAACTTGATCTTTCTTAACCAAATTCTTTTCTACCCCAGAAATGGAACCAAAAAATATTTCCGTAAAAATTCTGGCCACCATGAGAAAGTACGTAATGTATTGTAACTGACTTGCTAGCTTCCAGAAAACATAATTTTTATACTGCACACTGTTCACCTTCAGATATATATTTTTTTAAAAAAAAAAATCAAGTCAGAAGTTTTTCTTCCCTTTATCATAGTAATTAGGAAAAAAATATTCTATGTGTTCCTTACCAGTGTGGTAAGAGTGCAAGAGTTGTCTTTGGTTGAAGCGCTGTCTTCCTCACTGCTCTAGTCTTGTTTAGATTAACCGTTCAGTTTAAAAAAAAAATAGCAAACGCTATCTGACTGCTTCCCATTGGTTCACAGAACAAAAGAATAGACAAGGTGAATCTGTGTTCTCAGGGAGGGTTCCTGAGACAGTGCAAAATCCCTGTTGCAATGGGATTGGTGTGGCAATGCAGCACTTTAAGGTCCCTGCAGACCTGGCGGGTGCTTAGATTTGTTCCTCTACTGCAGCACTGTGAGGAACAAATGGGTGGAACAGAAGCGTGCTTCTGCTCTTTACCAAGACGGTGTAATGGAGTCTTCACTAAATCAGCCCCGTCTCAGCTAACTTCCCCTGTGACGGAAGAAGGGGTGGCAGTTTCTTTTGTACGTTAGGCTTGGAAAGTGAGCAAAAGACATCCCTGTAAAATATATGTGACTTTATTTTACCTTTGCTATCCTTGCTGAGGGAAGAAATAGTTCTGTTCTGAAGCCAAAGGTGGACATTACCTATCCCTTTTGATGTTTGCCTGTCTCGATCCAGAGGACTAATTCATAAGGACTGGCTTCATCCTGCCTCTTTAAATTGATTGGCATGTCCTTTAATAATCACTTCAATTAATCGCTTTACTGTGCAAGTAGAAAAAAAATCAATATAAAATGTAATGGTTCCTCCTGCCAGGGGCCCTATTGATTGTGTAACTAATGATTTTGAAATGATATGCCATTATGCAAATCCCATCTGTTTTAGGGACCTTTGCCAGGCAGCCACAGAGGAACTGTGTTCTTTTGCTTCATCTTTGATTTTCCAGTGTCACAGTTATCAAATACTGAAATAATTTTTAAGGATTATGACCCTAGTGAATAGTGATGCTGTAATGATAAATTTTAAGTGCTTATTTTATTATACAAATTGTGTGGGCCCCTATATCTCTCACACTCATCAGCTCCTCAGTTTATCCCAAACTAAATAATGTCCATGCCATTAAGGCTGTGTGTCTGTATAAATGCATTGTTTTAAAAACTTTAGTCAGAAATGTTTTGGCCAGTGTTACTGAAAATAAATAAACACACAATATATTTTCAAAGACAAATGTTTAGGAGCTCTGAGTAAGGTGTAATACATGAAAATTAACATTAATTTTCAGAGTCATCAAGGCTTATGGGAAGTTAAGTTTGCATAATATTAGCATTTGCCCCACCTGCCTGTCAGTTACTCACAACCAGAAGACCACAAGGCCAGAAGCACTAAAGCAGCGGTTCTCAACCTGTGGGTCACTACCCCTTTGGCGGTCGAACGACCCTTTCACAGGGGTCGCCTAAGACCATCCTGCATATCAGATATTTACATTATGATTCATAACAGTAGCAACATTACAGTGATGAAGTAGCAACGAAAATAATTTTATGGTTGGGTCACAACATGAGGAACTGTATTTAAAGGGCCAGAAGGTTGAGAACCACTGCAAAGGATGGGTTACAGGAAGAATTCTTAACGAAATGCCTTGGTATGTCAGTGGGTTGGAAAGTAGGGTAAATGGTGTAATGTGTGAAAGTTGAAACTCAACTTTGGGAGGGATGAGAATAGCTGTAACATCCTAATTCCTCACCCCTCACTTTTCAAGACAGCGGTGGAAAGGCTTCAGCTCCATCTTTGGAAAGACAAAGCATGAGCAACTTCCCTTGTGATCTTGGTGGGGAATCTGACTAACCTGAGTAAGAGTTTAATTCTAGGGCATTGGGTGGGGTAAAATAAAGGACTTTATCTTTTCTTTTGTGGTGCTTTTATACATTTATTATTTCCATAAAATCTGATATTGAAAATATTATGTTTGGGAAATACAGTAAAGCACCAAGAAGACAAAAATATAAGCCATAAGCCTAACACTCAGAGAGAAGCTCTGTTAAAATGTTGATGTGATTGATTGATTTGTTCTAAAGGAGTGATTTCCATAGCACAGCCCAGATGGTTCTACAGTTAAGGCATTGACTAAATAAATATATTTTTCTATTCTTACTATTGTGGTCTGTGTTCTTCTGCTTTTCCTTTTCATGATGAGGACAAACTTGCTAGTACTGAGTGCTCTGTTTTGCCTGAAATAACTCTGTGGCCCTGGCCAGGGGAGCTGCGCCTTGGGTAACCCTCTCCAATCTTTCAGAACTATCCCATGCGCATTCTCCAAGGAAAAATGAAAAGTTCAGAAGTTTCTCAGTTGCTGTTTGACTGGAAGTGCAGCTCGTTAACCTGCTTTCCTCTTCTTTATGTGCCTTCTCTTCTCTCTCCTCTTGCCCTTGTTCGTCAATTTCTATTCTTCTCTGTTTCAGCAAAACAATATCAGTCAAGGTAATTGATGATGAGGAGTATGAGAAAAACAAGACCTTCTTCCTTGAGATTGGAGAGCCCCGCCTGGTGGAGATGAGTGAGAAGAAAGGTGGGGGAGCTGCTCCAGGGCTGAGCCCAACAGCTTCTGCTGGCCGGTGCCACCCTGGATGCCTGCACTCTTCAGACCATGATTACAACACACATATCCCTCCCCCTATGTAACAGGGCATAGATCTCGGGCCTGCCTGGAGCTCCATTGGCCAGTTTTGGCCACTCTGCCTGTTATAAGTTTGAGCTATTAATTTTCAATGCAGTCAATCAAGCTTCCATTTCTGGGAGAGTTGAAGCAGTCGCTTGCTATGCCAAAATGAAGCCAACTTTCTGATTTCTCTTCCTAATTCAGGGTACCTCCTGACTGCCAATTGGAGCAGGAAGAATTTGTGTACGTGACAAATTAGCAAAGAAAACAACGGGGGCCAGCTGAGAGCACCCAAGATGCCCTTTTACATACTTCAGGAGGTCCATGTGTTGCCATTTCTCCCTCCATAACATCACCGTTAACATTCGGCTTGGTGAACACCTAGCATGAGCCTGTGACTCCAACCATTTGTTTTGCCTTTGTCTTGTGTTCCCACAGGAAGATCATTACCATTAGAGTATTTGACCGTGAGGAATATGAGAAAGAGTGCAAATTCTCCCTTGTGCTTGAGGAACCAATATGGATAAGAAGAGGAATGAAAGGTGTGAGAGTATACAAAGACGTACCAGCGAGAAATTGTACTCTTCTCTCTCCGTGTCTCCCTACTCTCACACTTAACTTTCTCCTCTTCCTCGGCTTCCAAGTACTACACTTCATTTCCTTTGGAGCTTTAGCAGTTTCATTTCCCTTCCCTAACAAGTGCACCAAGCTCTGCCCCCATTTTCTTCAGGAAATGCCAACTAACCTTGACCGAAACCAGATTTAATCAATGCTGGAAGAGATTTCTGGCACTCAGAAATGATTATATAAATTATAAAAGCATGATTCATGTGTTTAGTTTTTCCCTGTTCAGGGGTCATTCTCAAATGTGGTTCCAACTATTAAATCTCCCCTAAAATGTTAGTGATAAAGATACTTAATACCTGTTAGCAGTGGTAAATGTGTCTAATGGCAAGGAATGGGAAATTTCAAAAGACTTAAATAACTAGGTTTCTTCAGAGGACCAGGTTTCAAAAAAATATTTAATAAAATATCTTAAAGAGTAATGGCATCAATATTCTAGTGCTCTTTGGGCATGCTATTTTTATATGATCAAATATGACATTTAAAAGGGACCATATGTATGAAACCATAATCATATAAATTTTCTTTAAGTAGGAAGGAAATGGTCCTTCAGTAAGAATTTAGCCCTTGCTTAAGGCCTACCCAGTCTTATGCTCCAAAACCTTTCTTTCTTTATAGAATTGACAAATTTTAACATGTACAGTAAAGAGAAAAGAGTAAGCAGCCATATCCTCAGAATAATTTTTTTGGTTAATTTGTACTTATACATGTAGAAAATATTTGAATAAAGAAATCAATTAATTAATTTCTTTGTTCTCTTCAACCTTATATCTAGTTTATGTGGCCTATATTTGATAAGAAAGGGCAAGAATTTTATATCAGCTTTAAAGAAATGTTTTTCTGAATTATTGAGGACTTCCTATAATTATCCTCTAATAGTGACTATTTAAAAAGGAGTCCTATTCATTTAATTATATGTATAAATTTAGCATACTGCATATTAATTGCATAGAAACAATTGGTTAGATGGACCACTTTGAAGAAATTTACACTTTTACATGTAAAAAAATGAAATATATAGGAATTGAACTAATCCCACATTTGTAAGAACTTGGTGTCCTCAGAGTCCTTCAGAAAAAAAAAAAAGTTTATCTTCCTGACTTAATCACATTCAAAATGGTAACAGAAGCCTTTGGAATAAGGGGGGGTGGGGAACCACTGGGGAGCCATTTTAATTCAGCCTATTTAATATGTTCCATGGACAGCAGGCGGAAGGAAAAGACACTTTAGAAAATTGTGCTGATTTCTTACAAAGATGGGATCAAAAAATGCCTCATTAACATACAGGAAGAAGCACTTACTTCTCAATGAATTCCTCCCTAAAGGGAGCGCATCTTAGATAAAGTTCTTTCCATTGTCATTTCAATAAAATATGCCCTCATGTAAAAGCAAATTAAAATTCCTTAATAGCACTATCTAGTTTTTCACCCGCCAAGTAGATTCTTATTACTATAAATAAAATTACTGGCTTGTTTTAGAAAGTATCTTCTAATGCTACTACCATTAGAAGGAAAACTGGGCCTGAAAACTAATTGTAACATCCCCATCGACTACTCCGGAAGTCATTTATTTGATACTTTCATCCAGATAGCTTTCAACAAAATGAAGTGCTTCAGTATAGTCTGGGTTTAAAACACATAACCTGAAAGACAAATTGTGTATGCTCCCCCTACACACACACACACACACACACACACACACACACACACACACACAATGCCATGCGGTTTTTCCATGGAATTAGGTGTCCACAGAAGCATTCTGGCTTGTCCAATTACAATGTGCAGAAATCATAGGTAAGGACAGAAAAATAAGCACTAATTCCTGGGATTTGAGTTTTAAGGACTTAAAAAACTAAGCATTCGTTGATGGCCAAAATATCATGCAAATAGAACCTACAGAGAGAGAACTTTATTTTGAGCCAAAGTGTCCTTTCAAAAAGGGTGGCCAAAATGAAATTTCCTAAGATGTTTTATCTGTTTTCATTGAATGAAAGGTATAATGCCTGAGATCCTGCATGATTTAAGACTTTCATATGTTGAATTAACTAACTCCCAGGCAATATTTCAGGAAAAGACTCACTCAAATAAAGTTTAGGATTAAATTCATAAAATGTTCCTACTATAGTTGGTCAACTAGATATATACAATTTGTATAAGCATAGATAGTAGAAATGTTTGACTAAATGTCAAGCAATAATATATAGAATGAAATATATATACATGTATATTAGTCAATCACACACATTTGCAGAAATTCGTGTTGGGATTATGTAGAAATATTCCCAATGCCACATTTCTTTGGGATGCACTAATTTTTTATCAGTGGCTCCCTACCACTGTCATCAGATCTGCCTGGATTTCTTTCTGCTGATATTCCTCTTGCTTTCATTATTCATCTGGTCTCTTATTCTGTGTTTGTCTTTGTCTGTTTCCTTCACAGCCCTGTTATTGAATGAGCTTGGTAAGCATTTCATTTCTTGCATTTCCTTTCCATTTTTCGAGGTTAATTTCCATTTCTGTCGGGTGATACAATAGCTTTCCGACTTTTATTTCTATTGATTTACTAGTAAGATTGTTATTTAGGCCCATTGGCCTCATTTTTGTTAAGGTCAGATTTATATTCCAGTTTTAATTTAACCTTTTGAAAAATCAGTGATTTCTTATGCATGCACAGAATTAAATGTGTGCACTAAATCCTATAATCTTAAAAGAATGATTAGTGATTAAGTCATGAACAAATGTTTTCATATTTTTTCTTAATTGTAAATATAATTTGGCCAGTTTTTATCCCATGGATGGGTCATCAAACAGTCTGATATCACCGATATTTGTTATTTAGAGTGTGACTTAAATAAATTGTAACATTTATTTATTTTTTTCTTTTTTAGGTGGCTTCACAATAACAGGTATGAATTTTTAAAGTCTAATGACATCAAATTTTACTTTTTACTGTCTGTTTTCACCATATATTGTATACATTTTTTAAAAATCATTTGTCATTTTTTTACTTTCTTTTAATGAAGGAAAATGCCTGTATGGTAAGATAATTTTTTAATGTTCCTCATTTTCTTCAAATATCCTTAAAAACCAAACCAAAGCCTCATCTTATATAACCTGTATATTAACACTTAGCTGTCGCACATGGTGTGTTCTTGCTGATTTTAGACATTCAAGGTTTTACACACTAACAACATGTGTGTTGTATTCATTTACACGCAAATTTAAAATACCCTATAATTGTTCACATTTTGACACTGGTCAGTTTACAAATGTTCACATAGCCCTGGTGATGTGCAGTGTCCCCAGCTAGATATTCCAAAATGTACCAGAGTAACTAAGACAAGAAAACATAGGGGTTGACATCTAAGACTTCTCCATGGCCCAAGCTCAGGATACTAATAGTAGCTAATACTCTGTCGGGAGAAGACCCATCCCATCATCCCACCACACCAATATGGACAAACCCTTCTTTGGGGACTTAAGTTTTAGCATTATTAACACTTGTAAATTAATGAGTAATATTTCTACCACTTAAAGTGCATTACAAAATGCTCTACAAAAACTGAAAATGCCAGTCAAAACGTATAAAACCCTTAAATTCAGACTGGTACCCAGCCTGTGTGGACCGCGTTGGTTAGCACAACTCTAAAGCTATTTTCTTGTATATGGAAGGAAGTTATTTCCTTACAGCATCATCTCTTTTGATCCTTAATATCTCCTCATCCTTTCAACATCGTCTACGCAGATTTAGAGGGAGATAAATATCAAACGTCTAATATACTGTGTAGGTGTTAGTATTCTAATTCTTTTTCCTGAAATCAGATAGCTAAAAAAAAATTTTTTAAGAATATATTGCCAAATATTGTAATGTTGAAAATGCTGTCGTGAGAGTCAGGGTTAACTTCAACCACTGTGAGTATAAACTCATGATTCAGTAGCTCCACATGATTCTGTCCAAAGTGGCACTTTCTGAATATGAGCAATTTCACATGGACTCTTACTCTCCTCTGCCTCTCTCCAGACAAAATATTTAATGACAAAATGACTCATGGACTCTCAGAGACATAGAAATTGAAAAGGATAAAAATGTTAAACAGGACAAGTCCTGGTAGAGGGTTTGTTAAATCTGACTCATCTGAAGTTCTCCCAGGTGAAGTCTCCCAGTTCTGCACGGCCATACATGCTGTTTTCAAATCCACGTTCAGGAATTTCCATTTCTTTTAAAATTTTTATCTTCTTTTCCTCGTCCACCATTTTAACTCCTTGAAGTGTTCTTGGAAATATTCTGTTTCTGTCACCCAATATGTTAATTATCCTGGTGAGATGTGAGGAAGGTAGAATTTGGGCAAGTTGAGCTTCATGGCTTCTTTGAAGTAATTTTTTTAAGTCAACCATTGTAGAAATAATATAGTACCGAGCAGCACCTTCAGCCCTATGTGGTCTGATAATGAGACCTGAACTAAAAATCTCTGGCTGTAGAACGAATGCCTTATTAAAATGCATTGAGGTGTTTGGATATCTATTTCCTTTAACATTGAATGTGTCAGGATTTGGCTTTGAGGGTCTTCCTTCCATATCACTTGAAACATCTTCTCTTTTAGTATGTAGGTAATTGGATCCCAGTTTCTTTTCTCAGAAACTATTCCTATAAAGCTCTGGAGTGTCTGTGCAGTTATGTCCAACATTTGCTGCCTTGGACACATCTCGCATCCAAGAGAGCAGAATCACTTCTTCTGAAGGTTTCTCCCATTTCATGTACTTCATCAAGTTCTTTCTTGTTTCTGAAACTTTCATCTGACATAGCAGTTTTGTGTTGACACCACCACTTCCCAAGACTTGAAATTGATGCTGTTAGAACAAGAGAGAATTCCAGAACTTTGTGGGAATTTCTACATTGGCCTCTCCCTTTACATGACCCTTCTTCTCCAGAACTAGGCTGGAATGCCTTGGATCCAATCTATAGATGCTCCTGGGGAACTTTCTGAGACTTTGGTCTCCACAGTCTAAAGCAGCTTTAAGTCCCAAGGAGTTTTTCTTTGAAGTGTGTTTGAGGCTTTGAAGGCAAGGCTTTGAGATACAGGGGTAGTAGAGAGGAATTAATCTAGCCTTTGGATTTTTAAAAAGATTTTTTTATTGATTTTTAGAAAGAGAGAGAGAAATATCTATGTAAGAGCTAAACATCGTTTGCCTCCTGCACACCCCCAATTGGGGATTAAGCCTGCAACCTGGGCATGTGCCCTGACTGGGAATCACACCAGCAAACTTTTGGTGCATGGGACAACACCCAATCAACTGAGCCACACTGGCCAGGGCTAGCCTTTGGATTTTGCCTGTGGCATTTATGTGTCTTACGCAGCTGAGTGTGAAAATCTAAATTTGAAGCAGGATATATGGAAATTTAAAGAACTGTTTGGTGCACAGCCCAGCACCTATATTTCAGAGATCTCATTAGTTAGTGGTGGCCATTAAGCTCTGGAGGTGCTTTTGGAATTTGTAAATCTTTACCTGTTGCTCCCAGAGCTTGCCTCATTGAAAGGCTCCTGTTTGGACCTATGCGCTCATTCCCCCTTGACCCTCAGACACCTTACATGATAAAACCCTATTCATTATAGCTCATTAGAGTTTATAAAGTAATTCTTGTTTATTATATCATTTAATCCTCAACCTTATGGAGGAAGATGTTATTGTTCTCACTTATAGGAGAGGTAATGAGGATACAAAGAGATTGATCGATCTACCGCACATCACCCATTCAGGACTCAGGGCCTGGCCCTCTGACTTAAGTCCAAGGCCATGTGATGAGTGTTCCGATCCCAGCAGTTTTATTTCCTTTCTCCTAACCACTTCATTCCTTCCTGCATCGTCATCCCTTTTCAATTCAAGGCCCAGCTGTTTCATAAATGCCATCAGCATGAATGCTAGTCATATGAAAAACCAGGGGGACCCCAAAAGAGGGTCCACATAATTTGAATATATTTTTAATAAAATTGAGTATTCTGGCTCAGTTTGGAGAGGAGAGAGTCATGTCTGATTCCTCAGGCAGCGGCGGAGTTCCTTAATTAATTCAAAGTATATAACAGTCAATATACCTCTTTTAAAAGCTAGTCTTCCAATCACATTATGCTCATCATGTAATAGACTAAGTTAGGCACATGGAAGGAAGCCAAACTATGAAAATTCTGACAGTTAAAAGCTTTAATCACTCCAGCACATAGGTTAGAATAACAAACCCCCTTCAAGTTCAGTTTTATCTTAAAATTGAAAAAAACAAGTCCCATAGAAGATAAGTGCCTTGGTCAAGTTTAGACAGCAAGCATATAACAGAGTTGAAACCAAGTCCTCAATCTCATGATTCCTAGGTCAGGTCTGGGTAGCTCTTACTAGAAGCCAATAGCAGGTAGATGTGGTGGTCAATTGAACCGGGAGTTTGATGAAAACCCTAGGCCTAGGTAATCCAAACAGTTGCTATGACCATGGTGTACCCTGCAATGACAACATTCTCCCATTCACAATCCCCAGGAAATATATAACATGTTCCCAGATGTTATGTTATTTGACCCTCAAACAAACTTGTGATGTGGACATCGCAGGTAACTGTTGTCCTTGTTCCACATGTGAAAAAACTGGGGAAATGGCCTACTCTGGGCTATGTTGTTGGCACCAATAGGAAAACCAGGATACCTTTCATCGCACCAAGTGCTTTCCATTGTTTCATGATGCCTCTGGAAGCAGAAACTTAGAGGGTGTGAATACTCCATTTCAGAAACCTGCAGGAATCTGGCTGCGCCCCCTACTATGGCATGTGTGGTTCATTCACATGATCTGGTTTGGCTTGTAGAACACTTGCGCTATTCAGCTCTCACTTCTGCAACCTACATAGGAGCAACCTATGAGCACTCAGTCCTCTAACATTGCTTGTGATGTGTGCATCTCAGTGTAATGTTTAGCTTACTAATTCTACAGAGCTCTACTAGCAAACCTGTGCAATGCATCCTGCTGACTTTCTGCCTGTCCTTTTGCTAGGCCAACCTGTCTTCAGGAAAGTTCATGCTAGAGAACATCCGATTCCCTCTACTGTAATCACCATTACAGGTACTCGTTTCATCATGATCCTAGAAAACCAATGTGATGAATTTGAAGTGAACTGTCTTCAAATGTTCTTCAGGTCTTTAGACAGTAACGTGACCCAGTTTAGCCCCTGTCCCCTCTAAAACATTGCTAAATAATGCAGTGGCTCTCTGTAGCTGGGGGTGATGGAAGATCAGCAGCAACAACACACAACCCCATCGGCACAGGACTGGAGGTGTGCATGGTAGAGGGATTAGCATGAACCATCAGAGGGGATTGATCCTGATGGTCTCTCCTTCTCAAGATTCAATATATCCCATATTGCTTGCAAAGCTTGCTTCTCAAGCATGGGTCTTTCATTCCAAGTATACTGAAGTCTCTTTGAAGGCAAGCTGTATTTCTTCCCAGAGCCTGCCTTTCCTGCCTTCAGCCAACATGATGTGAGCCATATGTGCACAGATGATAGTCCATCTGTGGGGTTTCTCCAGAGGGGAACATTGGCAGGGTGACTGGAGGATCCCACGACTATCCCACATCTCCCTAGGTTCAGGGCCCAGAAACCATCTCCTTGACCTGCATCTCCTGATGAGGACACAAATATTCACTCTTTGGTATCACCACAGCCCCTCACTGGCTATGGCAGTAGAAACTACATGTCTATCTGCCCCAGTAACGCCTTCTTCATCCCCACCTCCCACACCCCTACTCAATGATCATGATACCCAGCCCTGACCGCAGAGTTGTTCCAGAATATTCCTCCTGGAAACAAAAGTACAAGTCTCCTCGGGCTTTTAACAGAGAGGCCAGTGCTGACCACTGTCAAGAGGTCTCTGCTCTCAGACTTTCAGCATAGACCTGAGTCAAAGACTAAAATGGCCTGGAGCCAATTGTCCCACCATTGGCTTTATATCCCTTTCCAAGTTCGAGGTTGTTTGTTAAGATTAAAAATGGCAAATACATTAAGAAGAATCAACAGTAGCTCCTCAGGCACAGATCTGTGGGTTGTATTGTTTTCTAATAGGGATCCCTCTCAACCCTTCACTGCTCACAGTGACGCTGCGTCAAAATGCAGCCTGAGCCTGAAAGCATCAGCAGCAGCTTGTGCATCCCTCTGCTCTGTCCAGATCCCAGGTACCTACTAGCTTCTGTTATTTACTCTCTACAGAATCAATTACTCAGGAGAAGGGAGCTTCCCCTGCTGGTGATTTTATCACAGGATTGTTTTATGTCCTATCAATACTGATTTCAACAGTGGCTATTAATTATACATTTGATCTTTAAGTTGTGTTGGTTGGTTAAGATCATGATGTTATATGATGTTATGTGATTTATTATCAGCTTGTCAATAAATATGATGAGTTTGAAAAGTACACATGCATATATATATTAATTATATATATATATATATATATATATATATATATATATATATATATATAATTAATTTCCTCACTCTGCATAAGTAAGAAAATGAAACTGATTTGACCACAGTAAAATGGATTGCATTTGATCCAACACTCAAAGTGAAAAGGAAACAAACATAATAGATAATTTTAAAATGCTGTTAAACTATTTCTCTTGTCAATAAAATTTATTTAAAAGAGGACACTTTTTTTAAAAAATAGACTCAGCTATCTTCTTTGCCAGTGTCAAAAATTTGGACCATAAATGCTAATTTATCAGTATCATTATAGAGCCATAATAGGATTTACCCAGATGCCCTTTCTCAGTTACATATAAGTGGAGTGAGATCTTACACGTTCATGACATTGAGTCAATGAAATTAGGCCTGACCCTTCCATGACACTGAGCCTTTGTGCTTTGACTTCTCTCTGCCTGGAATGCCCCTCCTTATCCTACCACCACCTTCACCTGGCAAGCTTTTATATCTGCTTCAAGGCCAATTTCAAATACCTCCCCTGTCCTGAAGCCTTCAGGCAGAGTGAGCTGCTTCTCCACCTGGTCCCTCAGCCCTGACCTTGCACTACTAGAAGTTGCCCCACCCACATGCCTTGCTTCCCACTAGACCACAGGTTCCTGGGAAATGGGGGAGGAGGCTTCAGTCTGCTCACATATTGTAGGAGCCCAATAACATTTGTTAAACGAACAAATCATCTTTATATACAAAGAACAAATAAGAGGCCTATCTAACAGTGAGTTGGAGAGTCTCACAGCAAATATTTATTGAGTACCTACTACATTTTATACATTGTAATGGCGGTTGTGATCACAGTTCGAAGAGCAAGGAGACATTCTATCTCGCTAAGTTTACATGCTGGGTATTTATATATAAAGATAACCAAAAAATTTAAATATTAGCAAGATTTGTGCTCAGTATACACAACAAATATAATGGAATTAGTATAAAGTTGGAATGGTCATTCCTAAATAGGTCAATCGGGATATTTCATGCAAGAAGAGGCGGACTTTGGAAAGATTAAGTCAGGTTTAGCTGGGTGGAAATGGGGAAGCTTTTCCAGATGGGTAGACAATAGCTTAAAAGTGTGGCATTAAATTCAAGTCAGGTTTGGAGCAAGAGTAGGAAGTAACAGAAACAAGCTTCCTTGCTTTCCTATAGGTTGGTATGAATCTATTCAGAGAGTGTTTCCTAAATTTTGTTTATTCTCTTACCTCCTTTATAATATTTGCCTTTATAACATACCAACTATACTTTCATTTACTTAATGTAATATTCTGAAATTGCCTCATGTTTGTGCTTCACTAGATTTGTTTTTAAAACAAAATTGTCACTAACACAAATGGAAAGCTAGTATCATTTTTCATTAGTAGAAAATAAGGTAAGTTAAGAATGGAAAAAAGTTATTAAATTCTAACTAAATACATTCAAATGCTCTTTGCCTGAGGACTGTTTTCTCTTTCTTAAATGGTAGAAACCCAAATGTCAGAAACTAGTTACAGACCAACAGCACCAAACTAAGCATTTCTTCTTGATCAGACGGACTGAAAGATGATTAAAAAGGGAATAACCTTTTCACTCACTCTGTGATTCAATTTCATTTCCTACCATGTCCATTTATTCAATACCACACTCCAAATCATTTCGTTTTGTGAAAGGCAGCATCAAACAATGCCTTCAAATCACTCTTCTTTTGTAATTTCTCTGTTACTTGAATCCCATTAAAATCACCTTGAATCCCATTAAAAGCAACTTACCATTTATGAGTGAACTGCAGAAAAGGGAGAGGAATGATAAACACTATTCCCCATTAGCTTTGCAATTCAAATAAAAATCCAAGTTCTAGTAGTTCTTCTGAAAAAAAATAATTCTAACTTGATGTAAGTCTTCAAGGCATGCATGTTCAGCCAAGGTTTTGAACAAAGATATTAATATAACCTGCTGTTATGAAAACTACCAACAACATTATCCTGTGTTCAAGGATCAGATGCAGTAAAAATCAAAACATGATTGATGTGTACACTGAGTAAATTGGACATCACATACTTCAGCCCACCCCCTCGACTACACACACATAATTTCAAGGACAAATCTTAGGGATGACAATCAGAACCCTTTGTCTTCCCTTGGGTCATAACTTCCCAAGCCTGCTTTTAAAAAGATGACCACTATTACAGTTAAAATTAATCCCCCTGCACCTCTCCTTTGCATCTGCTAACATTCAGCAGCAGTTTCTGCCCATCCCAAATCACTTCTTTTTAGTCTTTATCCCATATCTTCAGGGCCGTGTAATCACTGGGGATAGGAAAGCAGATTCTGAAATAGCCTTTTAGGAAGACTCTACTGAATGCATTCTAAAGAATTCATTGATATGCCACGCTCTGCTTTGGGCTTCTGTTGGTTTTTACTGGTGGTGTATATAAAATGCTAGCGGTGCCTCCAGCCCATCTGCTCTGTGCCCTAGCAGTGAACGACTGGCCTAGGAACCAGTTGTTGCAACATTTGCGAGAGCATCACATAGAACCATCACAGGAGGCTCCCTCAGCAGAGGGAAGCCATGTATCTTTGGAGGGAATGGAAGGTATGGACTTCTGCAGAAGCTGATGCCTAAATGCAAAAGGCAGGGAGCCTGGGCTAGAAGTCCCTCAGTCAACAGACTCCTACCACAGGCAGTGTGCCCGGATAGTTCTAAAAACGAGCGCATCGGGGCTGAAGTCTTTCTATAGCACTGATACTGCTTCTTTGGAGATGAGGGTTATTCAACTAGACTGTGAGGGGAAGTGGCCTGCCTTGCTGCAGCATCCTGGGCCTCGAGGATAAAGGGGCTGGTGAGTATAGGAATAGTGTTTGACCTTCACATGTGCATGGCCTTTTCGGTCTGGGATTTATCCTAATGACCTTCAAGCCGAGAGGAGCCAACTGTGAGCTTCCCCTCATTAATGGACTCTCCAGTCCAGTAACATTTTCTCAGCACCCCCTAGCCTCCCTGGGGTGTAAACTACATGGTGGTTCTGGAAATAATCATGCTGATGTGGTGAGTCGTTTTAACTCCCCCAAAGGCCTCACCTTCACCCTCCCTGTTTACTTTAAGATTAACATGGTCAGGGTCTTCCTAGCACATTTCAGCTTTGCACCAAAAAGAGGAAGCCCTGAAGCAGGCATCTTACTGAAACATGGGATGGATGTTTTGCTTCTTAATTTGCAACAGGGGTTCTTGGCAAATGAGAGGCTAAGGTCAGAATTTCCCTTCCATCATCTCTTTGGCCGTGGGGCATTTCTGTTGCTTCTAGAAAGTGGAGAGAAAGAGGCCAGATTCCTTTACCCCTGGAGTCACTCTCACTCTTGTACTAGTAATTATGTTTCCTTTTGGTCATGTGATAAAGGAATGTGCATGAACAGCCAGATGAGCCAGGGTCACAGAGTGATTCCCACAACGTAGACGACGTGCAGGCAGCGTTTGTCAGTGATGTGTCCCCATAGGTGTTTTTCCTGGTCTGCACTTGCACGTGTGCTTAGGTTGTGGGACTTTATAATCTCTTGCTGTCATAATGGTAGGCTGCCTGACATACTTAGCATCTATCTAATACTCCCCTCCAGCCTTACGGTCTCACCAGGGAATTTTAGTAGGTCATTAGGGCTTCCTTCCTTCTCCGTTTCCTGATCCAGGGAATTCCAAATAAAATTGAGCCCATTGCTCACTTTCTTGCCCTTGCCTTTCACAGAAGAATGTGACGACAAGCAGCCGCTGACCAGCAAAGAGGAAGAGGAGAGGCGCATTGCAGAAATGGGGCGCCCCATCCTGGGAGAACACACCAAGCTGGAAGTGATCATCGAGGAATCCTATGAATTCAAGGTATGCTCACCCACACCGCCCACCCAGGAGGCTAGGGCCATCCTGGGATCAAAGTTTCATATGTCAGATCCACCTGGAAAGAGAGGCAGATGTAATTTCAGGAACTTGCTCACTAACTGAGAGACCTTCACAGTGGAAGTGGAATTACACAGTTAGTAGGGAATCAAGAGTTCCCAGGAACCAAACAGCATCAGAACCAGGACTCCGTGGGTGGCATCTGTCAAAGGGTCAGAGGTGGCCCAAAGGGAGGGCTTCGTCTGTGAAAGTAGCAAGGAAAGAAGCAAAGGTAGATTCCAGGAGCGTGTTATGTGTGGAGGAAACCAAGGTCTATTTGAAAAAGCTAATAAATCTACTAGAAGAAAAGCAATCACACCGAAATTTAGGTGGCTTTTGTTAGGTACTGAAAATTAGGAGGCTTCTGTTTTGGAGGGGAGATGGTAAGCTCTCCCTATGGAACATCCCATCGACCAACGCCCATGGATATTTAGTCATCCTCTTAAGGTCCCAGGACATTTTAGCACACTCAACATACTGAAGGTATAAGCCTGTGACCAGAGAGCTCATCATCGTGCTGATAAAATCAAATTCCCAGTTCTCTAGATCAGTGGTCGGCAAACTCATTAGTCAACAGAGCCAAATATCAACAGTACAACGATTGAAATTTCTTTTGAGAGCCAAATTTTTTAAAGTTAAAACTATATAGGTAGGTACATTGTTATTAACTTAATTAGGGTACTCCTAAGCCTTAGGAAGAGCCACACTCAAGAAGAGCCACACTCAAGAGGCCAAAGAGCCTCATGTGGCTCGCGAGCCGCAGTTTGCCGACCACGGCTCTAGATAAGTTATTTTGTAGAAGTTAAACAAATAGGCCTTAGGGTGAGCTTAGGACTTTGAGGCCCAAGTTCCTATTCATTCTTAGCTACTCCCTCTGTCCTTAGCCCACCTCCCATCCCGGCTCACTCACATCACCCTAACATCTGAGAAGACTCTAGCAGAGCCACACTTAGTTCTGTGGGGGGATGAGGAGAGCATGAAAAGGAGCAGCCTTTCTCTGGCTTTCCAGAACTGCAAATCCAGAGCACAGCAGTATTTTCTCCACTTGTTTTTCTTTCTTTTTTTTTTAATTGATTTCAAAGAGGAACAGAGAGAGAGAGAAACATCAATGATGAGAGGGAATCATTGATCAGCTGCATCCTGCATGCCCTCTACTGGGGATCAAGCCTGCAACCTGGGCATGTGCCCTGCCTGGGAATCAAACCATGACCTCCTTGTTCATAGGTCAACTGTCAACCACTGAGCCATGCCAGCCGGGCTCCACTTGTTTTTCAAAAGCAGACTCTGCTCCTGTTGGGAAACCAGAATGAGGGGAGAATCAGGCCACCAACATAGAAGCCTCAGTGTTTTATCTGGATTCTTTGTCGTCGTGGCCTCTTTTCCTTTAGCAGGGCCCATTAAGTTTTTTTGTTGTTGTTTGTTGTTGTTGTTATTTAGTTCACAAATTGAGGTGACTTAGAGAAGACAGGTAGAGAGTAAAAATGCTTTTGCAATTAAAGTGGAATTTTTAAAAGATAAAAATGCAATTAAACTTTCCCCTTCAAGTAAATGAAAAATCTCTTAACTTTGCTTTCACTCATTCCCCTAGAAAGAGCAAGTAGGGGTCAATTCCAAGATCAGTGCTTTCTAGGCAGACCCTGACCATCAGAGCTCACCTGTTGTTTGGTCTGAAACATGACTGGTGCACACAAGCTCCCTGTAAGTCCAGAGTACAGATATTTCAGACCATCTAATTCCATGGACCAGACTGTCCAGATGTGTCCAACCTCACTCTTCCTCATGCACCTTCTTTTATGTGGAATCAGAGTGTCTGGTGCCACTTGCTGCAGCAGAGACTCTCTGGCTTGGCATTTCTTGTCTCCCACCCCTCCCCGGCCACTGATGGGGAACTGTGTGTTCGCTCCCTTATACCACACAACCCCCAACCTTCCCCTTCCATGTACCAGGACAAGGAAGAGCAATCACAGTGCCTTCCTGTAGGAAGTGTTAGGTTGGGTTGGGTATGGTAGGGCAGTCTTTCAGAGAGCAATGCTTTCTTGAGTCCAAAGCTCTCCCTGGTAACCACCCTATTGATCTGAGCATTTAAGAGTCCTCCAAATCTGTTTACATAAATCTAGTTGTTTGGGGCACTTATCTTCCTAGAATAGTTTCCATAGACTATTTCCTTCCTCCTGTCTCCTCAGAGTTCATCAGTACAGTTACTGTTATCAGTAAAGGGTAACTTGGGGTCATTTTTCTCAAGTGCCCTCAAGTATCAATTTTGATATTATATTATCCCCTTAAGAAATTTATTTTTCTAGACCATGGCTATTTTAAAGAACTTGTTTAAATGTCTCAGAACTGCATTAAAGTCCCACATCCGGGTGACACCTTACAATTCCCACTGGGTTCTTCTTTACTTGTGACTGAGGGCTTGACTTTCCTAAGACCCATTGCTGAAGGTGAGGTTATAGCAGCCGCTTACAAGGCAGTGAAGGGTTCGTCACTGACATATAGGAAATCTCCAGGTAAGCATAGACGGCATTACCCCAAGTTCAAGTGTCTGAGCTTCAGATTCATCTCATTCCTTCAGTCTCCTCCCATGGTCAAAGTAGGACACATATTCAAATTAAGTCCTAGGAAGAACCCAAGCTATCCCATAGTCCCCCAGGGTTAACATGAACTAAAAGTTTATAATCCTGAGTATTACATATTTATAAATTTTAAGTTTATTCTAAAACTTAGTTCTTTAGAGATATTTCTTGAGGCAAGTCAGCATTCAACTGTTGGACCAATTTATCTGTTCAACTGTTTATCTCCAGGTGATAAACATGAAATTCTCTGGCGAGATCTGCCTCAAGTTTCCATTACATTTAGGAAAAATCAAGGTCATTTCTTGTTTCATTCTACACAGAAGTCTGAATTGGCATCAACCAAGACACTCAGAGTGCTTGATGAAATGTGGCTGAGTTGAGAGAGAAAAGCCAGATGCTTGCCACGCACTTAAGTTGTGGTGGCCAAGAGCAGTGATGGCTATAGCTACTCTCTGGAGCACTAGCAGTTCTAGACACAAGGCCTGAGGCCGAAAGGTCACCACCCTAAGAACAAACAAGCTAGCCAAGAATGGTGTTGGCAACCCAGAGTGGGCCAGTTGGAGATGGGCCCTCTCATGTTATCGCAGTATTTCAAGTCAGTTCAAAAGACTCTTGTTGAACTAACACACTTGACATTCTGATTTAGCTTTGGTCTCTAGACAGGCCCCTCGGATCGCTTTTTTTTTTTTTACCCCCATTTAGCTGATAACGTGCTCTCTCTCTCAATTCAGGTACACTTCATTAAATGTGTACAGAGTTTGACCTGAGACAAATAATACATGTTTCAGCCTCTTTGCAATTAGTGGGAATTCGAGGATGCTCTGGCAGTAAGGGTGTGGGGGTAGACTAGTCGAGGTGGTGGTCCCCCTGGAAGAGCAGCCTCGTATCCTGGACGTGACCCTGCTCCCTGTAGTGGCTGTGATGTGGTAGTGCTTTGGGTGCATCTGCTTACTTAGTATTCTTGCAAATGCTTGGCTGCTCCTCTTGTTACATTAAGTGACAATTAACTACAAAGTGCTAATTGTAAAAACCAAGTGTTTCAAAAAGGTGGAAAGAAAAATAAGAGGTTCAGTGTTAGTAAAGCAGGGAGGATTCAAGGTAAATAGCGATGTGCCCTAAACTCTATGCATTGACCTCTTCTCGACATGTTTGCAATAGGAGAAGAATGAGAGTGAATTCTCTGACAGCCACCAGGCTGACAAAATCAGGAGCCAGAGAAAAATCCATTTATGGATGATCCTACAGCAGCAATTTGGAGGTTCTGCTGTCTGGCTGCAATGTATTGATAAACAAAAGTACAAGAACAGTTTCTAGTTTATAATCCACCTGCCAATTCCGGTATTCACAGATATGTAACTGCTGAGCAGGACGTATGTGAATTCAGTTGCAGACAGCACACTATAGATAAAGCCAGTCGAGAAACAAGTTCATAAAGCATTTAGGGGGAGAGGGGTGGGCTTTTGCAACATCTGCTCTTCTGAGCGCCGAGACCATTCCTCATTGGCCACTTAGGCGGTGAAGGAGGCTCGTATTCGCTATGAAGAACAAGTTTCCCTTTCAGCATGTTTCCAAGTAAGGACTATGCCTGTTTGCATAATCATCACAGTGTTTGATGTCAATGCTGTTGTTCTGAGCCTAACATCTGCTACCCTTTATATAACTCTGGGGTTTCAAAATCATCAAGGTCTTAGCTTTTCCAAGGCCTTAACTAACCCAGCAGTTATTATCTTATCCTTTTCAACCTTTCTAGAGCACCGTGGACAAACTTATTAAGAAGACAAACCTCGCCCTGGTGGTCGGGACGAACAGCTGGAGAGAGCAGTTCATTGAAGCGATCACTGTCAGTGCCGGTGAGTGCCTCTCTCTGCATGTTATAAATTCTAACGACCAAACTGTGCTTTCTTTCTCTTCTGTGACCACCGGTCTACGTCAAAGTACCCAAGAACTTCCGTGATGAAAATTGAAAGAGAAATGCATGTACTGGTAGCATACATGCACGTTTGGGGGACTAATTTAGACTTTCTAGGTGAAGCAAATGTCCTCAAACGTGACAGTCTTCTTCATCTACGTTGCTCCCTTCTCCCTGGAAATAGACCTGATACATGTAGAGCCTTTTGGGTCTCTCGGGTAGCCAATCACCAAGCTTTGTCTGGAAAAATCCCTGAAAGCGGAAGTGGTCAACTGAAGGTCACAAAGGAAACAGCAAGCTCCTAGGTGGGCCAGGCTGACGTGTCCTCACTTCCCCACCACCGTCTGCGTCATTTTACACTCTCTCCAACCATGCCTCACCAATAGGTGTCTGCACCGGCACTAGACGTGCAAATAGAATCACATTCTCTTTCTTCCAGTATAAGCGAAGTGCAGAGTTTTATTTAGGAAAACCCTACAAAATGAATTGTTTTGCCAACCAAGGAGCCAGAGACCTGAGGGACTTAAATATAGAAAGAAGTGTCCCTTTCCTGGGACACTTGTCGTGTGTGCTCGTATAAAGACAGAGCACAGTCCCTCTCACAGACTCTGAAAGCAGCAGTTCAGTGGGACTGTTTTTTTCCAGTTCTTCTGCTCCAGCTCCACTAGATTTTTTCTCTTTAGAGATCCCTGCAGGCTCAGCTTCTACTGTTCCAGCTCATGAACAAAGCTGGGCTTTTCTAAGTAGTAATTCCCAAACTGTAAAATATGGAAACTGCATCCCCAGCAGTTGGGCTATGACTTCTAACACAGCCCCCTCTTCCCAAGCTGCCACAGAATCACTCGACAGATCTCCCAAGTGCTGTGGGCACGGGGTGGTAAAGATTTGTGTGCCTGTTTATGATTAGTGCTGTTTATAATCACACTGTCGTTTCTTGCGATTGAGTATACAATGGAGACTTACGAATATTAAATGCAGAGTAATTGCTTAGGAGAGTAGATTTGGAATTTACATGTAAACTCTGATAGGTGGAAGGGGAACCTCCTTGGCATTTGGGCTGCGATAACAAAATACCATAGACTGGGTGGCTTATACTAAACAACAGACATTTATTTCTCACAGTTTTAGAGGCTGGGAAAGCCAAGATCAAGGTACTGGCAGTGCTGGTGTCTGGCGAGAACCCTCTTTCTAGTTCATAAATAATTATCTTCTCTATGTGTCTGCACAGGGGGGAAGGGGTGAGGAAGCTCTTGAATCTCTTTTACAAGAGCATTCATCCCATTCGTGAGGGATTTGCCCATCTTCGAAAACCTTTACCTCCAAAGACCGTCATGTTGGGAAGAAGGTTTCAGCATAGGAATTTGGGTGGGACACACAGGTGCATTCTATAGCACTCCCTCATTATGGCTTATGTTTTCTATAAGTCTAAGATTAGTATCTGAGGCATGAACTGTACTCTCTCTTCACAGAGAGAAAAACCAAAAGGACAAAGACAACTTGAATAAGAAACTGTTGGCGAGGCCAATGGTAGAAGATGTAAAAAATAACCCAATTATTTTATTGTGGACTTTGACACATCAGATTTGAAATATCAAAAGCAACCTAAGTCTTAATGCACCATTACCAGTAGTTTCCAGGTTTCCTTTGACTGAAGCTATAGGAGCATCTGTATAATGGTCATGTGCTGGACATGATCCATTTGTTTTTCTATATGTCAATCATTGTTCTTGGTGTGAGGAATATGACAGTGAATGAAACAGGCAAATACCCCTGCCCTAATGGAGCTTACATTCATACAGCAAATAAGTAAAATATGTATGTTATGTAGGATATTCTTCATGACAACAATAAGGCTATGGAGAGAGACAGGAAGTGTGTGTATGAGCTGCATTGGACAGTGGCCAGGAAGACACTGTAATAGACACATCAATACCGGATTTGTTTTTCTAATAATGGAGTGGTTTTGTGTTGATTCATTCACACATTTTTTGTAACTCTCAGGGACCAGGGTAAACGTTTTATGACCCCTCTCTGGCAATGGGAAAGGGTTGATTTAAACAGTGAAAGATTGTGCTGCAAACCTGGCCAAAGTTGTGTATTTGATCCTGGGCAGAGTAGGTATACAGAGAAACAACCATAAAGATGCTATACTTTCATATTTGAAAAGGGGAAGGTTTGGGCTTGCAAACATTTTTAGGTATTAGGTTGAATTAAGTCCTCTCAAAATCCCACGAAAGAGGTGTTAAGAGTATTCTTACCTCTAGAGGAGGAATCTGAGCCTCGGCTAGGCAGTACTGCTTTGCAACATAACTCAGAGCCCAGACCCACTAACGACTAGTCCAATGTGCTGCCCACTGCCCTTAAGAGGGAGAACTTTCAAAGTGAGAAAAGTGTTCCCACCTCTGTCTCATTGAATGACACTAGTCTTGTCACCTCTCCTGGTGCCTCTCGGGATGGGACTAACTTCTGCCCAGCTCCTTTTGTCATAGGCACCTCTCACCGGGTGTTACCGAACAGCCAGTGAGAGAGGCCTGTCCCCAACCTCGATCCTTGTCTTCTCATGTAAATAAATTTATACGAGAGACTGACTGCATTGGGAAAAGCCAATTTATTAAAGCTATTAAAGCATGCACCTTTATTGAAAAGGCAAAGCAAGCAAGCAAACCTATACATCTGGATTATGAAGCGCAGACGGGCTCTCAGCTAATCTGAAGATCAGGTCGGGTGGGGGTCTGAGGGGTTATATACCCTCCTGTCTATATGTTTAAAAATTCCTTTGCTGCATAATTTGATACAGATTGATTCTCAAGATTCCCCCCTCCCTCTTTTTTTTACTTTGTTGTGGACTTCCCAGAATTTATGAGAAGCCCCGGCAACTCTGTCATGCCAAGCCTTGACACTGCTGGCTTCTCTGCTTAGGGAGTAAAACTGTCCTGTTTCCTTCCCCCTTAGCTTCTCCCTTTCTGCATTCTCTCATTAGGGAAGTTTTTTTGTAACCATTTGCTCTCCTGTCCTTGGCTGGAGGAGATAATGGCTGGTTAGTTACAAGCTGGCTGCAAATTGCTCACACTATTTGGCCTTGTTCTAACATTCCTGTCTCAGTTTCCCTATTCCTCCTGCCCTGGAATCCTATAACACTTTGAAGAAATGTTAATGAATGAAATGCAAAACCTCTCAAGTATTCTTATGCATCATATTGGGTTTTTATGCTCTTAAATGACTGCTGGAGAGTAAGACAAAATTGCTTAGAAATTTGCAGGTTTCAGGGTAAATTGACCTGATTTACAATTTTTGAGACCGAATACCAGGAAAGCAAACCCGTATTTTACAGGCACTCAATTACCTGAATGACAGAAAGCTCAGTGTTTGTCTTTAAGATTAAAATTAAGCATCTAAAGAATGTTAATTTTCTTAGGCTGTTAAGTGGAAAATAAAATTGGTAAAGCAGCATTTATTAAAAACAGACTTTGATTGGATTTAAGATTTCATGGCTAAATAGTTGCGAATCAGAAAGATTTGCCTTATTAAAAATATGGAATTGCTTTGCAGTGGCTCTACTGAGAGCGTTTCCCTATGCAATTTTCTGTGCAAAATTAAGTCTATATATCTTGCTAAACAAAAATAATAATTGTGTAAGTAGGAGTTTGCCTCTGTTTCTCACTGATTATATTTAAACTAGTTTCAAGGTAGACCCCTGGCAGTCTTTTTATTCCCCTTCTTTCCCTGAATTTCATAGCTTAGTCGCTGGGCCTCCTATGACCATCATGTGTCTGTGAACCAAGTTCTTACTGTTCAATATTTGAAGACTGAAAGGATTTATGAGACTCCAGAGATTAGGTAAGGATGAAGCAGTCAGGGCCCAGTGGTCCTCCCATCATTTCCTGCTGGAGTTACCAGGAGCAGTGGCTGCCGCAGTTGCCTGGCTGTCAGAAACTTTCAAGGCAGCCCAGCATCCCCACCAGGTCGGCTGACGATGTGTCGGCAGAGAAATGGATGTCTAAGCAAAGCTCGCATGCACTGCACGTCCAGTGTGAATTTCCCCAGGGCCTCCTTCTTCTTATTGCCTCTGCCGGGACAGAAGGGAGGGTTGGCTTTAAGAAATTACGTACCAGCTAGGACCCAAGGGAGCACTGGGGTGTCCAGGAGAAGGGCAGACATCAGCTGGGGAAAGAGAACCAGATGCCAATGCCAATCCCACAACTGCCGCATTGCTGAGCTTTACCACAGCCGTGGGCTGCGGTGAGGTGAGCGGGAGGGCCATGGCAAGCCTGGCTTTGGAGGCAGATGTGGGTTTGTGGCCCAGACCTCCAGAAACCCTCTGGGTGACTCTGGGCAGCTTACTTCACCTCTAAATCTCAGTTCCCTCAGGAGAAAGTGACCACTGCTCCTCGCTCATGGGGGTGCTATAAGGATGCATCAATCACAAAGGCTGTCTATACTTTTGGAGACCACACTTGGTCGTTGTGAGGCAAATCATACTGAAGATCCTAAAATAAAATACAACTACCTGATGTGTAAATGAAGTCAAATCAATTTAATTACTAAAATTTCTAAAAGACTAAAGACATTGCTTGTCTGTTTAGCTTTATAGTGTCAGACATGTGGCTTTATATGTAAGAAAATGGAGATTCAGAAAATCAATGTAACTTGCTCAAAAAGTAACACTGGCCAATGGCAGTGCAGGGTCCGGATCAGCCCGGGATTCATTCCAGTGTGAGGAGAACGTCATTACTGAGGAGACACTCATTTCATGTGTCAACCTTGGGTCAGAGGAAAATCCCATTTAAGCAATTACAAGAATAATCCTGCTGGGTCAGGTTTGACAGGGCCTCCGTGTGACTATAGAACAGAGCCGGGGGGCGGGGGTGTTAGAGATTGGGAGTTTCCTTTCTGCCCTGTTTCCTTTGTGACTATAAAGATTCCTACATACACAGACATGCA